TTGTTGTTTGTTTGTTTTGTTTTGTTTTTTTAAATGAAATAAAGCAGATTATTATGCCTTAAATGCTCCCAGGCTTAGCACCAGGGCGGTGACAGGGATGCTGTATGAGAGCTAGTAGTTCCAGTGCTCTATTTATCTTAGCACACCATTATTCCTTATGGAGATTACATAAATGAGTAACAGGAGCAAGCATATCATTAGTGCTATTTAAGCAACCAGGCAGGATTCCTGCCCTTCTGAAATCCTTCTCCTGTCATTATGTCTTGGACCAAACGACAAGACGGAGCCTGCACAGAGCACTTGCAGAATGATTCATTCTGGAGAGCATGGTTGGGAACTTATCTTTTAATGCCTACCTTAAACTGATTGTATAATTTTTTGTTTTCTGAGGATTTTTGTTGTTTGATTATATGATTGTTAAAAAGCAAATATGAAAATGTACCAACAATTAAATTGCAAAAGTAACTTCATCCTCTTCATATCCTTCTGTTAGGTTTTAAGGCGTAATATTCTAGCAGCAGATTCGAGAAGATAAAAAATAGTAATTTGTCTTTTCATTCTTTTATATCAGTTTGTAGCTTTAATGAGGGCAAGGGCCATTTTAAACTCAGCACTGAACAAATAACTAAATGGTTCATTTTTCAGTTTAGAGAAACTGATAAAGAATTAAAGTTCCTGTAAGTTTCTAAATGAGAGCTTAAGGAAAAAAAAAAAAGTTGCATAAACAAGAATTGTGTATGTCTATTTTGCAAACTTGGCTTTCTGATAGGGCAGAGCATACATCAGGAAGCAGTTAATGAGAGGAATTTTCCTTCTTGCCGTCTTCTGCTAACGTTGTTTTCCCATTTTAGCCTAGCCTCTCACAAATAGCTAATCCAGTTTATGATCAAAAACCTCCAAACAACTCGACTTCTGACAGATTAAATGAGGTGTCAGGAGTAAACAGAGGTTGTGTGGTCTGTATAAAACATAAAAGATCTCAAATGTATACATGCTAACTTACCAATATATTCCAAATTCTCTATACACATACAGATATCTAAACGCTTATAATCATATAACCTTAAAGATCATTTAGTCCAACTGCCCTGCAATGATCAGAAATACCTGCAGATCGATCAGGTTGCTCAGAGCCCTGTCCAACCTGACCTTGGATGTCTTGAAGGATGGGGCATCATCTACCACCTCTCTGGGCAACCTGTTCCAGTGTCTCCCAACCCTTTCTGTAGAAAAACTTCTTCCTTATGTCCAATCTAAATCTCCCTGCTTTTAGTTTGAAACCATTTCCCCTTGTCCTATCCCAAAAGACACTGCTAAACATTCTGTCCCCTTCTTTTGTATACCGCCCTTAAGATGCTGCTATCCATGCCTTGATGTTATCAAGGCTTGAATTCAGCTGTAAATTTTAGCTGTGTAGTTTTAAAAAGGGAACAAAATCAAACAAAACTAGACAATCCAAACTAAACTGGAAGTTTTGTAAAAAATCCATCTATTTTTTTCTGAGAATCAGTAAATAACATGGGTATGTTATTAAATCTGTGATACCTGAAGTATTTTTTTCTTTGAAAGTCCTGTCAGCAGATGGCAACATTTAGAAAGCATGAACATTTCCTTTATTCAAATGCTCCTCAAAACCCACTTGTTTAGAGGCTCTTTTACGCACATGCAGTGTTAAATGAGGCATCTGGATAACATTACTGTGTGATTCTCTTCCTCTTTTTGATCACTTGTATCACCATACAAGTTTAGGCTTCGCTGCTCTTGCAGACTCAGTGGGACTGTGATACCATCTAGATCATCAGTTCTTGTAGAGTGACATGAAAAAGCAGTACAGTTTCTACATCATTTCTTTCTTCATCCTTCTAATAATCACTCATTTAATATTCCTTTCTAAAAGTGTGTATGTGTCTCAGTAGTATTATCTCCGACAAACATCTTAATAGAGTTGGTGACCTTAAGTTTCCACTTGGGCAGGGATCTTCAGGTGACTTTACTTTGTTCCACACCCAGTTAAAAGTACCTCTGACAAACCATCACTTACTCAGAGTGATGGTTCTTACTCACATTGGCAAGTTGCATCAAGATCACCAGTTGTTGTGGAAGTGACTTTTACAAAAATCAGTTATTTTTCTTTCAGTTGTTTGTTGTTTCTATCAGTTTACTCATCTAGCTTTGGTTTTGCTTGAAGGAAACAGGTATTTTCCTTTATTCCTTTCAAAATTTAAAATTAAAAACTGCACTAAAAGACATTGTTGCCAGTGTGCAGTAGACTGACAAGACTTGCAGTCCAAGGATGTGGCTAAGTCTATGAAAGACTGCCACGACAAAGATTACTTCGTGTTCCCTGTCCCCAAAATGCAGCTGAGGAAGGAAACTGGGTCAGCATTTGATAAGGAGGGGATTTATTATTTACTATTCCTTTTTTTTCACACCAGTAGAAAGTTTTGTGATGTAATTGCGGTTTATACCGTGCCTACAGAGTGATCCATGTTGGAGAAATCTTCTGATGAAGTTAAATAATCAAAACACTTTAAATAAATACCCATTTTACTGTAAAGCTGCGAAAATCAAGCTGGTGTGCTTTATCAATTCTACTCTTCCTAATATATATGGTACTGTCATATATCAGTGTATATATCAGTGTATCAGGTATGTATCAGTACTGTCAGTACTGATGTGTATCATGTTGCTCCTATGACACCTCACCTACCACCTACCATATTGCCATTGTAATTCAAGTAATTCAACCCTAGGGGTGATATTGCAAATACTTGTTGTTCAAGTTTTGGTTTTGCAAAACAAGTCCCTATTGATTCCAATTTTCAGTCGAGTATTTATAAGCAGTAGTGATATGCATCATCATCCACGTTCACTGTTAGGATTAGTAGATAAGAAAGAATAGGTTACTTTCAGAGATCTGATTCTTCATCATCATCAGGTCATTTGAAAAGGATCAAAAGTGTGGTTTTCCTATCTAATAGATGCTTGAAGAGAATAATTTATCATGAGTCAGGCTCTCCTTATTTGCAAAAACAGAAAACCTACATTGCAATCCCAAAATGCAATTTAACTAACTCCACCCCAGCAGTGTAAGATTTACTCCTGGAAGAGTCAGGGACAATGTTCTCATGCTATAAAATCACTGCCTTGCAAAGCAAGTGATGGCTTTTTTCCTCATGCTTTCACAAACCTACTTCTAATTCAGTCTGTCACAATAATGTGATTGGCTTCAAGCTTTCTTTTCAGAGTACATCTTCTCTGTGTGTGACCATAACAGTGAAGTGACAAAATGATATCTGCAAGGAGCGCTACGGCACTTGACTAGAAATCTCAGATATCAGTGACTGCTGTAACCAAGCTCAAGACTGAAAAAAAAAAAAACCAAACCCAAAAAAACCAACACAGAGATAACTGTGGAAATATACCAAGACCTATTGGGCTTACAAGTCAAAAGAAAGAGCCTTACGCATACGATTTTGACCTGTCCAGCTGGCAGCTCAATCTGAAATACTGTTTTTGTATTTCATGGAGCTGAACTGCTAAGCTGTGTGCATGGCTAGCACATATCCATGTGCATCTTGGGATCTACAAATGCAAAAAAGTAGCTGCCCTACAAGGCTTTCATGTGCAGTCTACTCACATCTACTGGAGATTCAACTTATGTAATGAATATAACATAAAATAGTTCCGTATAAAAGAACTAACAAAAGAACTACCTCACTGCAACAGCTGAGTTAGTGCTGCTGCTGAAACTGTATTGTCATTTTGATTTCTTTTTATTTGTAATGAGCTTACCTCCACGGTAAGGATAAGATCATCTTCCTGACTCAAAATTATTGTCGGGACACTCTAGCCAAACTTCTGCTTTCTTCCATTTTTCTGTCCTTTGCCTATCACAGTAAATACTGAATTTCTGTTCCAGTTAATTGTAATCCACTTTGCCTATATTACTGTGACATCAATTTGTGCAACTCAAGTAAGGCATGAGGTTAACTTTGATTTTTTTCTTATTTTCTCTGCTTGGAGCCTTATTCATAGGGAAAATACTGTTAGAATCCACAGCCTACTCTCTTTTCTTCCCCACAGATAATCTTGTAAGAATTCCCTCAGCCTTGGTTCCACAATGCACAGGCAGGAAAACAAAAACGAGAGTTGGCAAATTGAGATGATTTATTACTGTTCAAAGTTATTTGTCATCTCTTAACGCTACTCTTTTGTTTATCCTCTTTTGTATTTTGTTGTCCTCTTTTGAGAGTTAGTGAACAAAGATATTGCTTTTGTTGTTCATCTGGACAACCTTATTTGTTTGGAGACTCCTGACAGTAACATTAGACAAATTACTTCCAGTAAGGAAGAGTCTTAGTGTAGCCTTGGCACTTAAGTTTGGCTGATGCTAGGGAGGAAGGAACATAGTTAATAGTAGTGGAGCTTACCTTAACTTCTATTATCCATAGTCTAACAGGATGGAGAAAGCTTTCATTTGTCAGTTCATAAAATATCATAATTAAGGATTTCGTACTCATAGATACAGACATTCAGGAGAAAACTGAAGAACTCTGTTGTTGTCATCTGCTTTCTCATTCAGAAAGAACTAAAAAGTGCCTAACATGTTTGTCCTACACATAAAAAGGTGGTCTCATTCCTCACCATGGTAATACTAGCAAGGGGAGAAACAACAAATGACTCTTCTGGATAATCTGCATCAAAAGTTGTTGCTGTGGGAAACAAACTTTTTTTTCCCAAAGCAACTGCTATCTTAACAGCAACAGTATTTGCTAGCATTACTTATAGCTGATTTGCATCCTTCCTTTTTCTTGTTTTATCCCACACGTACAGGATACTAGATACAAATGGAAAAGCTTCAATAGAACTAAAAAAAAAAAAAAAAAAGGCAATCTGGCTTAATGACAGATTGCCTGATTCATGCTTTTGAATGTTTTGTGTCCTTAGAAGTAATAAGTTTCACAATCTAATGAGATTGCCTGTGTTTGTTTCTGCAGGGACCCTAGACAAGCATTTAGAACTAGAGAATCTTGTGGCCAAATTCCTAGGTGTGGAAGATGCTATGGTGTTTGGCATGGGATTTGCAACAAATTCAATGAATATTCCAGCACTTGTTGGAAAGGTGAGTACTTCCTGATGAAACACACAAAACTATTGTTTAATTGTTTTAACAACTGCTGTAGTATTCTGGGCTTGTATTAAATGGAAGGGCTCAACTGAAGAAAAAAGCTTGGTATCAGAAAGGCAAAACAGCTTTCAGCATTTCTGATGAATGGATCTCTGGCCAGCCCTTGCAAAGAAAGCTGGTGGCAAATGCAAGTATAAAGATGAGGCCATGTGACAAAAGTTTGGTTCTTGTTTGATTCTGAAGGAATCTTATCTCTAATTTGGAGTACCATTGGAGTACCACGATGCAAAGACATGGAAATGTGTAATTCCACTCATCACAGCTCCTGACGCAACTTGTTCATATACCATCATGTTGGCTGGGAAAATTGTTCTCTCCGATTCAGGCAAATGCGAAGCATTATTTCCCCTTTGATGGAGGTGGAATGAATTCACTACGTGATGTATGTTCAAGATTTCTTCCAAAAACCTAGCTAGAGGTGAAGTCATTTCCTCACTATTGAGAAAGAATCCAGCTTTTATAAGCGATTTCTAACGTACTTTTATGCAGTGATTGGGCTGGAGAAAATGTTCAGCCACTGGGGATATGAACTTCAATCTACTGTGGTGCTGGAAAAGTAGTCCAGTAACATCCAAAGAAACAGTTAAAAACTAATAGAGGTAAATTTATGAAATCACAGACGTGCACAGCAGCCTAAAATAATTTTCTCTCGCTTAGCTCTAAAATGTTTATCCCTTAGTTAGCTGGCCTCATGTGGAGATGCAGGCCTTTGTCAGAGGTGGGATATTTAGGTACAAGTGACATGAAGTTATTACTGTATTGTGTAGAATATAATTAGTATATTCTAATATTACATGTTATTATATGGTGTTACGTATTGCAGATATTGTGTAGTTGTCCTGTATTTGCGAGATTTATTCCTAAATTTTCCTTATAGTTAAATCTGGTAGCTATATTGTCTTGTCAAGATGCACATGTCTAACTCTTACTGTTATATCAGTCTTTAAGCAGAATTGTGTGGATACCTCCAATCCTAGGCACAATCCGTGTTTCCTAAATAATATTTATTTAGCTAATATTGTGTTGTCCTTGTACTGGATAGTGAAGCGTCACAGCATAATATATACAATAGAAGACAGAGCTAAGTTAGGGCTCCAGCTTGAATTCAACTGAGAATCTTGTCTCTCATTGATACAGCATACTAAATTATTTTTTCTGCATTTTTTTTTATTCTATAAAGAAGGTTTTCAACTGAGTTCATCGGTGAAACATACACTGCAGATAAATTGTATATGAATTTACCAGAGAAAGAGTAAGATTGTGTCTAGTGCCTTGGCTCTACTTAAATCTTAATGGCAGTCTCAATCCATCCTGATCTTATTTCAATTATCAAACTGCAGATTTTAGTCCAGTTTCAGTATCAGTTCCTCCTTATGTTAATCTCATGCACTTTCTGAGAATGTCTGAGAATCTGAATTTTGTTTCTGCCTGTCTTTCTAGTAGTTCTTTCAGAAATTCCAATTCACATTGTTTCAATGCTATATGCATGTATGTATTTATGTATGTACAGACATAACTGTATGTTGAAACACTCACATACACACTTGCAAACAGCTTCCCACTTCATGCAAATGCTTTTTGTACTTCTTCTCCACAGGGTTGCCTCATTCTAAGTGATGAATTGAACCACACTTCTCTCGTTCTTGGTGCGAGGCTTTCAGGTGCTACTATTAGAATCTTCAAGCATAATAGTGAGTATTGAAGTTGGAAATGGTTTGAGATGTGAACATGTCTGTCTCTAAGGCAGGAGCACTTCCTTTTAGTGCATGCTTTTCTTTCAATTCCCAGATCAAGTTTTTATCCAGGCACAAGGATTAACTGTTCAACACTGAGTGATCTCAGATGGGGGAGAAATTGGCAGTGTGAGATTGCATTTGCTGTTGTGCAAGGTCTGGATTATCAGGTTGGACCTTCATTTTTCAAGGTGTTCAGAGAAAGGCAACAAAGCTGGTGAGGGTCTGTTGCACAAGTCTTTAAGGAGTGGCTGAGAGAGGGGGGATTGTTCAGACTGCAGAAGAGGAGGCTCAGGAATGACCTCCCAAAAATGCCTGAGGGGAGATTGTAGTGAGGGGGGCGTCAGCCTCTTCTGCCATGTAACTAGCAGTGCAAGTAGATGGAAGGGCCTCAAGTTGTGCCAGGGAAGATGCTGGTTGGACATCAGGAGATATTTCTCCAAGAGAGTGGTCAGGCACTGGAATGGGCTGCCCAAGGGAGGTGGTGGAGTCACCAACCCTGGAGAGGTTCGAGAAACATTTAGATATTGTACTGAGAGACATGATTTAGTGGGAAATACTGGTGATAAGTGGATGGTTGAACTGAATGAACTTTCAAACCTTGGTGATTCTATGAAATCCGAAGTCTTAACCTCCTTGCTGTCTTTTTTGACATGCTCAATGACTGTGTGCTGCTGAAAAGGTTTTGTTATTGTCACCGTAGCAAAACAGTACGAATATACTTAGAAAAATATGATCTACATTTCCTGCCTCTGTTTCTAGAAGAGTCACGTTAACATGGTGTACCTTTGAAACTGTGTCTCCAAATTCCAGGTGGGGAAATACCAAAATGCAGATGATTACTTTAAGATAACCATCCCAAAATAATCTTTGAGGTATGATTTTAGTATAGAAATCATACTAATGCCAAACATTAACTTTGCAATCATGTAATTATCTTCTAAAATGCTCATGGTTTTTAACTTTTATTTAGCTAATGATGCTGTGGTCACAGTCAGAGGCATTGTGATTGGCTTCGATGACAAGAGTTTGTTCTCTTCCTTTATTCTACTTTGCAACTTTCCTATTTATCACCACTGCAGCCACCAGGCAGTGATTGCAACAGAGATTAAGAAGTTAGAGAATGGTGAGGAATGCTAAAAGAGCTCTGACTACCTTTATTAATAACTAATATGGTCCCTTCTATTATTGTGTTGTGTTCAGCCCTGAGGTGAGCAAAAATGAATTATGCATATGCTGTAACAGGTCTAAGGATCTCTTGAAATGAAAGACACACTATAATTATAATATAAGATGGTGTTGCAATTAATATCTATTCATAATTTGGACAAGCAATATTTTTTGAAGAACATGTAAGAGTTAATGATCATGTGAACCAGAATGTTTTTACAGAAGTAATTATTCATAGATTAGATAGTAAGATGCCCCAACTTGGTCCCCTTCCATGTAGATACTCTAGGCATGGCTGCAGTACTAGCCTACTCCCAACTAGAATCCCCTGCACTTTGTGAAAGAGAACCAGAATATCCTTCAGATCATCTTGTCCACATTTTTAAGCACAAGTCAAATCATACAATCCATTTCAGGTACAGCTGTCACCTGCCATCATCAGCAAAGGGGAAATTTTGTTTAATAGCTTTTAAAATCATGTGCAGAAATACATTTATGTGCCTTTTGCTTTGGGGAAAAGAGTTTGTGTATTGGGGAATGATTGCAGTGGAAATGATAATGCAGCTGTCTTTGTAGGATGCTCAGTTTCACCTGAAATGCAGTATACAGCATTGCTCTCTCTGGATTCATCCCAGAGTAGTATAATACAAGTATAGGAAATGAATTAAGGGGACACATAACCTAAACTTCCAGCTTGTGTTGGGGGTTTCTTTTCAGTTAGGTAGGTGCTCATTTGTTTTGCTAGATCAGTTGTGTTTCTTATCATCCCAGATGATTCATCTCACCTCTGTCTATATAAAGGTGTCCAAAATGTCAGTCAGTGTTAGTATTGTCACTGCCATGCTTACAAACAAGGGAATTAAGCCATTATGCACCGTATTACTTGATGTGAAAGAAAGGTTCCTTTGCACCTTAAGTTAACACTTGAAGAACACTAGGAAATGTTAATTTCAGCATTAGGTAGTCAAATGTTTTGCCTTTTCAAGATCATTCTCTGCATTGTCATAGAAAAATTTGATACCCTCCACCTTCCCCCTTTCCATGGAGTGGGGATTTATGTGTGTTGTTTCACATAGAAAAGTCAATGATCCTTTAAAGAGTTTGGCTCTTGGCATCAACTGGACAATGTTAGTGTGCCAAAGGCTTTGCTAGGGCTCTGTGTTGAGAGGCTGGAACAATTATCCTGCAAAGTGCGGAAGAGTAAATCTGAATCCTATTCTGAAAAGGATTAGTGCTTAATGTGCTTTTCGTTCTCATTCCTAAATGCAGAGCCAAGTTCGTCCACTGCCATGAGTTGGCTCATCTCCTTTAAAGCTGTGTCAAGTCACACTAATACTGTCAGACCTAGGATTGCCCTACACTAAAGAAAACAAAGGATTCCAGGCAGTAGCACCACTGTTGTGATACATACCTTCTATGTAGGAGGGTCGAAGTATATATTCAAGTCAGGCAGCAGATTATGAAATCACCTTTTTGCTATTGGATTCCATCTTGGGGAAGCAGACTCTTTACACATTCCTTGTTGCTTACATCAGCCTCTTTTAAAACTGCCTAGAACATACATGGTTTGGCTTTGACTTCCTTAGTTATGTACGTATAGAAAAGGCACTGGAAGAAGAGTGAGGTGTGAATGTTTCATGCAGTTACTGTAAATGATTATCAAAATGAGGATGAACAATTATGTAGCAATTTAGCAAAGCAATGGCATATTTTCTGAAGCAGCTACTTGAATATAGTGCAAATGAAAGGTGTGTGCCAGTAACTTCCCTTTCTGTGGTGTTTTCTCGACACTGTAAATCACTCCATTTTCCAACCTGTTAAAGAAAAATTATTTTCAAAAACATAATAGGAAACTGTGTTCTATGAAAAAAAAATAAAATCACAATTTAAATATTTTACAGAAAAGACTAAAAACTGCTATTTATAGCTGTTACTGATGCACATCCATCTTCCAAAAGTTATTATATAGCTATATCCATAAGAGTGAAAATCATTTTATTTCAGAGTGTATAATCTGTAATACTGGATCTCTTTGTCATTATGCAAAAGTAAATAATTACACTTATTAGTTAGCAAAGAAGAAATCTCTACGTATTACATTAATTATGTATAATCTTATTCTTACAAAAGTTAATTAGACTCTATTTCAGTCAGTGGGTGGCTTTCCTAAAGCATTGCAATTTTCAGCCAAAAAATTCTGAGTAGTTTTTCAAGAGCTGATAGAATTGTTAAACATCTATGCTTCTCCTAAGTCTTAAAAAAAACCTCTTTTTTTGACAAAACCATTGCACTGTGAAAATGTGTGAGAAGGCTTTCAAACTTAAGAGTGTATAACAGAGCAAAAAATGAGATGTGGATCATTTTTGTTTGGATGTAGGAATGTGCCCTGCATCCTTACTGTGGATGATCAATCCCTTCCTTGTAAACAGGCAGGGATTTACAGGCTTGGGTTGAGATAATAGACTTACATGCCATCTAGGTGAGAGAAATTTAGGAGAATACTTGATTCCTGTCACGGAAAACACCTGGCCTACCTTCCCTTCCTGTGGCTCTCACTAGCAATGTTGCTAGTCTTTGTCCTGCCAGGGTCGCAGGAATATGCTCTGTGAAGAGTGGGGTTAGGGTTTATGGTTATTACTGTTTATTATTACTGTTATTTCTACTTATTAAAAGGATCAGAATTAAGAGCCTTGTGTTACTTGCTCATACAGCTCATCCTGATTTGCACCAGGCTCTTTCACTGGAGGTGTGGTGAAACAGAACCTTCCAAGAGTGAGCATAGCTGTAGTCATTGCTGTTGCTGAGGCACATGTGAGCATACCCAGCCTAGTCAAACCTTAACAACGGGGAACAGCGGGGTAGCACAACCCTGAGGAAGAGCACAGCAGTGAGGTGAGGCCAGTTGGTCAATCACAGCTCTTCTGTTTTCTGAAGATAGTCACTGTAATGGCTGAAACCTACCATCCACTCTCCCATTCATGACATTCACACAGCAAGAAGGGAAGCTTTGGTCATTTAAAATTTCTCCCCTACATAACCCAGCCTTTTTCCAGCCTCACTCAATGCCACTTAGGTTGTGTTGCCAGTGAAAATGAGTTGAGTACAATGGTGATCTTTCAGTTACCTGCCAAATCACCAAGATGCTCATTGCTTAAAAATAAATACTCATTTATGCATTTTCTTTATCTTTTTGTTTATTCTCAATATATTGTTCTGTAGGGCCCTTCTGGCAGCAGAAATAATTCTCTTTTAGGATAGTATTTCTTAACCTAATAGAAGGTACTTTAAGTCTGAGTAGATATAAGTTGGAATTGATGACGTTAACAGTTTGCATTATGGGGTCCTTTCCAGGCGTAGAATGACCAAGAATAATTTTGTCTGGCCTGATACCAAAACCCGAAATATGAGCGTAGACCTGGGCACTCTTCAATTTACACAGTAGTGTTTTTAATGGGCTGAAATTGTTCCCGCTTGCCCATAAAGCATCTGCCTTCCATCTCCCCTGCAGTGGTGTGGGCACCATGTTGGCATTTCCTGGGCAGCGATCTGTCTAAGAAGCTAGAAAAGAGAGGCACTTACACCCCTGAAATGCAGTGGTTGCAGCAGCACGGCCTAACAGCCAGTGTGCAGAGGGAGAAGGGCAGGAGATGAAGACATCTTCCTGCCTCTGTGGCAGTAGCAGCCTTGTTCTTTTTCTGTTTCTAAGATGATTTTTCAGTAATGTAATATACTGTAAAGCCCTTTTTCAGAACCTCCTGCCTTTTTCTTGGCTAAGTATTTGACCAAAT